AAGAGTGAGGAGTGCTGATGAAGTGGAAACAGTATGGGGCCCATTTCATTTTTGAACTACCTAAAAACTGTAAAGAGATTTCTTGTTGTACTAAAACACTAAAATTTTGAATTATGTAATTATTTTAGGATTTTGTTTAAAACAGCAATTATAGCGTGCAGCAGTTCTCTCAAGAATGTCATGCTGTGCTGCAGAGTCAGATTATATTTTGTAAGCATTAAACCTCTACCTTCATTAATATGAAGAGCAAACTCTCTATGAATTCCTCCTGTATATGTGTTATGGATCTTACCCACCAGTGACTGCTTTTTGTTCCTCCATTGTTAGTATTTTAAAGTATTCACATTTTTACCTTTGTTTGGTTATTGTTCTTACATTACACACATTTTCCCTAACAAAAATAATCCCATTTATTTTCATGTAATTGGATATGGTATTTCTCAAAGTGATTTTTCAAGGTAAAATAACAATAACATTATTAAAACATAATATATTAAAAAAAATTAAAAAAATTATAATCACCATTGTACAAATATAAAGGGTCTTCACCCAACAAGGACACTCTTCACGAGAGATAAATTTTACTTTTGAAAGAGCCATCCAGATACTAGGACTGTGTGAAGCTTTGGTGGCCGATTCAATTCAGATTCGGCCTGATTCGGAGACTGAATCTCCAAATCCTAATTGAATTGGGAGACCAATTAAAAGCTCTGAATCAATTGGAAGCATCTAAATCGATTTGGTGATTCGGCCATAGACTAAACAGGCAGGTGGCACAGCTGCTTCCAGCTGGTAAGTCTGTTGGCATTGAGGGAAGGGCGGGGAGATGTGGGCATGGCAGCGTTAGGAGTAGGGGCTATGCCCTGCTCCTGCTTGCCCCCTTCTGCCTGGAGCAAGCCACGCCTGCATCGCACCCCCTCCCCCTCCCCCCGCATGCCAGATGGGCAAGTGGCAGTAGGGCAGAGCCCCCACTCAGGGTACTGCCATGCCCATGTCCCGCACCACTCTGCCCCCATCCCCAAGTAATGCTCACCCCCGCCCTGGCTGGGCAGCTTGTCCCAGCCCCAATCCTTCCCTCCCCGCAACAGACTTGCCAGCTGGAGGCAGCTGTGCCAGCAGCCTGTTTAGTCTATAGCCGAATATCCAAAGTGGTGCCAAAACTTTCAGATCTGATTGAGCCAAATCAAATCAGGACAGTAATTCGAATCTCCAAATCAAATTGCTGTCCTCTGAACTGGCCGAATCCAAATCCGAAGCAAATACTTACCATTCCCTACAGGCGTACCAGATACCATGCAAAGGTTTGCTGCAGAACAAAAAGAAAATCCCCATGAATCGCATTAGTTATGACATATTTCCCTTCTCTGGAACCTACATGGAAAATCCTCAAACAATTGCAACCCATACTAAAAGAAGACCCAATTCTTAAAGAGATCTTCCCAGAAACACCCATCCTAGCCTTTAAACAAGCACCACACCTTGCTAACCTCATCACCAGAAGCAAACTCCCTATGTCTCAAACCACACCTAATGGATCCAGATCATGGCAGGACAAGAAATGTAAAACCTGCCAACACATCTCCACCACTCCTCCTATAACCACATCCCACAACAGAACCATCACCATTACTGCATCTTATACCTGCACCTCCAGAAATGTTATACATCTCATCCAGTGCACCAAATGCCCTGATGGAAATTATGTAGGAGAAACCAAAAAACAACTGTGCATGAGAATCTACGCACACTGAAAATCCATCAAAGACAAAAATATCCAATTAATGTGTGGGGTGCACACTTCTCACAAGACAATCACTCCCTCTCCGATCTCTCGTTTGTAATCCTCAATGGGAATTTACAAAACACCTTTCATAAATGAACCTATGAAATTCACTTCATAAATCTATCAGATACAAAATATCATGGACTTAATGTAGACATTGGATTTATGATGCATTACAACCTACCTGACATCTGATTCACTAGGTGCCTGCCTGACCTTACCATTTACACTTTTCTTTCCCCCTCTTCCTCCCCTCCCCTCCCCTCCTTTTTTATCCTTTGTCTTCCTAATTTCTAGCTGTTTATTTTTTCACAGCCTCTTTTTTACCTTGAAGAAAAGTAGAGTCTCCCTTACTTACCTTTGACATTATTCCCCCCTCATTTCCCCCGCTCCTTCCCTTGTTTAACCTTTGTTTTCCTAATTTCCACCTATTTATAGTCTCACTGACATCCTGTCACACTTTCAGCTTCTTTCATTCCTTGGATAGCTCAGAACAGCAGAGACTCCCTGTGCCTAAAGAAGGTGCTTGTGCCCGAAAGCTTGCAAAGAACTTTTTTCCTGCTACTCAGTTGGTCTAATAAAAAATATCACTTCTACCCAAAGACGCTTGCCTGCCTATATCCTTAGACCAACACAACTACAACCCAAAACCCTTAAAATAATCTGATTTATCAGGGAATATTTTCATGTTCTGCAAGGTTTGGATAGAATTATGTTTCAAGATGGAAACCATATATATTTTTATTAAGCATGGGAAGTGGGGGGGAGTTCATTTTTATTTAAAAAAAAATCATTTATGGGTTTACAGCATGACTGGTTCTTATTTCTTTCCTGCCACACAGTAATTAAAGAGGACAAATATGAAAACACTAGTCTGTTTAAAAATATATAATTAACCAAATAACCTTACAAAACTGTGTGATGTTTGACCATCAATCCTTTAAAGATATGATTAAACTAATAAAGCCATACACTGTCCCAAAGTTTGCCTGACACCATGTCTGATTGATTTTTGCATGGAGTTCATTGAATAGCTAAGAACCCACAACTGAAAAAAAGCTTCCTGCAAACCTGATTATGCCTCTGGAGGGTTTTTCCCTGGGACCTGATATATTTAGGAGTACAACACCAGGAAGTGACAAAAGTAGCAGTCAGCAAGTCTTAGTTGCTGTAGTACATGTAAGGGGAAAAGATGTAAGCAGTCAGCAGTCTCTCAGGTAAGAGGATCCACTATCCCATAGGAATGTAAAATTCCTCATTAACATTTTATACATAATCTAACACAAATAGGTATCCATCTTATCTGATAAGCACCTCAGCCTCTTTCTCTTCTACAAATCTTCAATTTGAGGAATTGAAAAAGACAAGAGGGTTTGGATATACTGACTAAAAGTTCTGCAGTTTAACATTATGTTTACACAAGTGTTAATGGAGCATATAATCTCTTACAGTCACCTGGATATTATATCATAAATACTGCCTATGATCTTTAAAGAGCATCCATCTTAAAAGCTAAATAAAAAAAAAAAGAAAAGAAAAAATACCTTATATATTTTAAAAAGAAAATAAAGAAATCAATATACAACTTAATAAGATGTCAAGCTATATGAAAGACCCCCAGAATTAAAATTTTGAATCTTCATATTATGTGAAAATTTTTTAACAAGATTGCAATATGGAACTCCAATAATATCTTTTAAAATATTTAGGAAGTTTCACATTAACCTTTCCAAGAAGGGAGGAGACCTTACTGAATCAAGGCTAATTGCCAATATTGGTCAATACCAACTTCAGTGGGATAGGAATTTCACCTTAAGATTTTGATTCCCCCGTTTAAGAAACTGTAGTTACTAGAAACTTACGGCTTACACAAAGTAAGAACCAGCATTTACTAGTGGGTTAACACTTCTCACAGCTATGGAAAAAGATTGATGTTGGTGTTAATATTTAGATTCTGTAAAGCCATCTTTGCACTTTTATGGCCAGAATTTGAGTCCATGTATGAATTGAAACAGGCTTCAAAAGCAGTGTTATGAGCCAATTTCCTGTTTTTAAGTAGGTGCTTGTGCCAAAATTTGATTTTCATGTAATACATTTGCATCTATTACCATAGTTACTCAAACATAAGATGAGGTTTTTTCCCCACAAATCAGCATTTGGGGGGAAAAAAGCCCCTCATCTTATATTCCCATGCAGAGTGGAGGGAGGAACAGGCAGCTGCTGTAGCAATGACTCTGGCCCTGATTCTGCATTGGGGTCAGAATCAGACCCACAGCAGCTTCTTGCCCTTCCATCCACTTCCCTTCTGCACCCCTGTTCACCCTTTTCCCTCCACGTTACTATCAAGCACAGCTCAGCTCTGGCTCAGGCTGGGGTCTCTCCCAGACATGGAGCACATGGAAACTCCTTCCCCTCCCTGGACAATCAGTAGCACCAACACTGCTGCATGGGCAGGTTGGGGCTTAGTTTCCATGTGTTTTGCTCCATGCTCCAGGGCAGAGCATCAGCATCTGACAGTAAGTGTGGGGGGGGG